CGGGCCCATGGAGGGGCTTGGACCACCCATAGGGAGTTCAAAGGGGTCTCCATAGGCCTGAAGAGTCAGGAGAAGGTATTGATGCCCAGTGTCTGGCTAGAAAAACAGAAGACAGTAGTGGAGGAGAGAAAGGAGACAGGAGCAGAGAGCTGCTCTGGTGGGGGGGTCACAGTCAAGGTGATGGGGGCAGGTGATGTTGGGCAAAGGGCGTGCCAAAGTTCCCACCAGGACTTAGTACCTAAGTATTAAGTGAACAGCAACACCATGAGAAGTTTCACACAATGGTACAAGGATGAAAAATAACCTAACCCGCTGTCGCCTTGGGTCATGGCCCTCTAGCCATTTTTTGTGGCTATACACAAATGTACATGTGCGTGCATGTATTGTTTTTTTCTTTACAAAGATGGTATCCCTGGTCCACCTACCATTTTGAGACCTGCTTTTTTGCTTGGCACTGTATCACATATGTGTTCCCATTTCGATTTACATAGGTTTGTATATAGTTTTTTTGTTGTTGTTGGGTAATTTTCCATTTTATATGTGTGTAATTTGTCTTATCAATTCATTCCTTGATTCGTTAGTCAAATAGGTAGTGAGCACTGACTGCATCCTAGGCTGTTTTCTAGGTGCTGGGCATTCGACAGTGAACAAGAAAAGTCTTTGTCCTCAAGGAATTGGTGTTCTGTTTGAGATAGAAAATAAACAGAGTTGCATGATAAGGTGTCAAGGAGTGCTGTGTTATGAAGTAAAACATAAAGTAGAAAAAGTGGATAGGGAATGAGCGGGACTGGTTTTGTAGACTGACCAACCATCCTGGTTTGCCCAGAACTGCACTGGTTTTAGCACTGAAAGTCCCACATCCCTGGAAACCCCTGACAAACCAGGACAATCAGTCACCAGTAATCGGAAAAGGCCTCTCTGAGAGGTGACATTTGGGCAGAGACCTCTGCGATGTTAGTGGAAGCCAGCCATGCAGATGTCTGAGGGAAGAGCATTCTGGGCAGAGGGAAAAGAAAGTGCAAAGGGCAGGAGGCAGGGGGCACTCTTTGTGTTCGAGGGAGAGTGAGAAAGCCAGAGCATCTGGAGTGCAGTGAGAGGGAGATGGAGATAAGAGCCAGGTTGTATGGAATCTCCTAGACCATAGTGAAGACTTTGGACTTTTGATCCTAAGTTTGATGGGAAGCCGCTGGAGTTTTTGAGCAACAAAGTCACCTGATCTGATTCACATTTTAAAAGAGTCACTCTGGCTTTTGGTGGAGAAGGGTTGTAGTGGGTAAAGATAGAAATAGAGAGACAGTAGGGAAGCCACTACAATAATCCTTTCAGGTGACGGTGGAGGCTCAGGCGGCGTGGCTGCAGCAGTGGTGGCAAGCCCCAGTGGTTTCTGGATATATTGTCAAGGTAGAGTCCAATGGGAGTTCATGGTGCAAGTTTTGTAGAATGAATTCCAAGTCGCTGGCTTCAACTTTCGAGTAGGTGGTAGTGCCGTTGCTGAGACGGAAGGCTGAGGGAGGAGGAGGCTGGGCAGAGTGGAAGGAAGGGGAATCAACACGTTTGTTTTGGAAATGGTAAGAGTGAGGAGCCTGCAGACATCTAACTAGTGAAGTGTTAAGGAAGCAGTTAGATATATAAATCCAGAGTTCAGGAGAGAAGCAGAACTAGAATGAAGTTTGGGGATCATGGAGTATAGTTGGTACTTAAAGCTGTTAAATTGAGATCAGCCAGGGAAAGCTTTAGATAAAGGTCCACGGGCTGAGCCCTGGGGCAGGCCGGTGTTTAAGGGTGAAAAGAGGAGGGGGATCCAGCAGAAGAGATGGAGAAAGAGCAGTCAGTGTGGTAGAAGGAAAGCCAGGAGCTCCTGAAGCCAAGTGGGAAAAGGGGGCCAAATCCTCAGAGAAGCTGAGTGAGATGAGGACAAAGCGTGCGTCACTGGCTCTGGCACACGGAAGGCCACTGTTTTGGTGGTGCGTTGGGATGAAAGCCACTTTGGAATGGGTTCAAGAAAGAAAAGGAGGAGTGGAGACTGAGTCCAGACAACTCTTTCAAGGAGTTTCACTGAAACAGGAAACAGAGCAATGGGACAACATCTGGAGAGGAATGTAAGGTCAAGAGAGAAAGCTGCTACTGCCAGCGGGTATTCTGAAGTGCCCTGTGGTGGGACATTAGGTTATTATTAATATTGTCACTATTATTTTCCTGATTTAAGCAGTGCTGCTGAATGAAGGCCCCATCAGGGTCCTGTGATTGAAAAGAAACGTCCTTGTTCTGGATATGTTTTGTCAACACAACATCCTGCCCATCTGTGTATTGGTTCAACATATCTATTTTGTTGAGAGATGGAAGGATCTGATATTGTTCACTTGGGTTTTCCTTGGCCGACACCCCTGGGTCTCCAGCACTTGAGAGCCCACAGAGAACCCCCGAGGCCCCTGGGCTCAGGTCCCTCCCTGTCCAACCCCCGCGGCCCCAGCCCCATGGATCCCTCTACTGTGGTGAATTGCTGAGGTCTGGGTGTGGCACATGGTAGGCTCACAGTAAGTTCCAGAAGGGCAGGGGCTGTGTGGGGCCCTGTCAACTCCTTCATTCCCCAGAAACCCCCTCACGAGCTTCAGGGGAGAGGAAGGGATCCCGTGAGTGCCTAATTATCGCACCAGGCAGCAAGGTCTTCATGAGCCTGGGTGCCAGCTGGGACCCTTTTCCTGTCTCTCACACAGCCAGAGAGCTGTGGGACAACCAGCCTTCCCTGGAGACAGCAGGCCAGAGCCTGGAGGGCCAGCAGGGACAGGCTCACAGGACCAAGCAGTCAAAGACCGCGGCCAGCCGGGCTAAGCCAGACCAGGGCTCTGAGACATCTACAGGCTCTTGGGGGCAAAGTGCTCTCAGCTGCCATGGCCGAGGTCTCTGGAACCTCATCTCCAGCCCCAGATGGGCTGCACTAGTCTTGGTTATGCCCTGTGGAGCATGTCGTCTTACCGACAGGCCCCTACACATACACACACACACACACACACACAGAAATTTACGGATGTGTGCCAATATGAACACAGATACACAATGACCTCTATATACACATGTGGTTACACTGTTACACACATATTAACAGACGACCATGCTCATCTGCAGACACACATGTAGACACCCACACACAGACTCACACACATACACACAACACGTTAACAGATGGAAAGATACACACTGACATGTCAACACACTACAGAGACTCACTGAGGCGCATCTGTGCACACGCAAAGTGAGAGCCCGGTCACAGATGCAGAGACACATGGACGAAATCATAACACGGCCACACGGATGCACACCAAGAAGCAGAGCACGCACAGTCATCTACACACAGACGTACACTCTCACACAAATACTTTGATGGACAGGACACATTGACACCAGACACCAGACAGACACACTGAAGCACACCAATACATGAGACGCCTGCACACGCACACCACGCACACAGCCTGACCCGCACATTCACACATTCTAACAAGCCCCAAGCATATCCAGGGCCCTCCCGCAGCTGTTGCCCAGCCCCTTCCACCCACCCCCCAGGGGGAGGCGACGTCCCCAAGGGAACAGAGGTCTCTGGTCCCTCTTAAGCTCTGCTGGATCCCACGTGACATCAGCAGCCCCCTTGCTGCCGCCGGGAGCTCTGAGCTGGGTGCTGGGGCCGGGCCGGCACCAGGCACAGACACTTCGGCCCTTGTTGGGAGAACAGAGAGAGGCTCTCTTATCCACTGGCCGTCCTCCGGCTCCAACTGCTGGTTCTGTCAGTGGCCTCTCCTCAGGCTGGGCAGGTATGTGGGGCCAGGGATGCCAGGGCCTGGCAGAGGGGCCTTCAGGGTCAGCCTAGGAGCAGGAGTGGCAGCCTTGTGGGCTGTCTTCAGGAGCACAGACCACGGGGCACTGGCTGGGGCCAGGCTGCACTCCTTCTTGGGGCAGTCCTGCAGCTGGCTCCCTCAGGGCTCCACAGGGCTGGGCCTCTCAGAGCAGGCTGGGCTGGGGGATTCCTCCCTTTGCTTGTGGTCACTTTCTCAGCTGTGGTGGTACTTCCAGGAGCCCCCTGGTAAAGATGGGTGGTCTCTACCCAAAAAGGCCAGGCTGCAGCCCAGGCCCCATGAAACGCCAAGGCTGTGGTCTTGGGATGCACAGTACCCGGCAGCCCCCACAAGCAACTGGGCTCTCAGATGAGGTCTTGGCTCTTGGACTTGACCTTCCAAGCAGCGGTGGGGCTGTGGGGCCCTGGGTACCCTGAGCCTGGGGCTGGACACACCAGCCTCCCCAACCCTGCAGGGCGGGGGCAGGGAAGACACTATGCTCCTGGCCGCATAGACCAGTTGGTCTGTTTATTCTCAAATAGACTCTGGCCTGTCTTGGGTCTCTCCGTGGCTCTGACCCAAGGCCCCCAGAGCATCTGCGCTTCCAGGGGCATTAGGTGGAAGTCCTTGAGGCAGGGAGATAATAGCACAGAGCCCAGCCTGGGGCTGCCCACCGGAATTCGGGGTTGGAGCATGTCTGTCTAGGAGCCTGGGGAGCTCAGCCTGCCCCTCACAAGCTGTGTGAACCTAGGTAAGTCCCTTTGTAGGCGTTAGGCTCCCCACCTGTGAAATGAGGGGGGAAGGGTTCAGACTTCATCCTTTGCAGGGTCCTTCCAGCCCTGGCCATCCTGGACTTCCAGAGCTGCCCTGGCTCCAGGATCATGCCCTGGCTGCCCCCAGTGCTTAAAATGACTCAGCCTGGGAGGGGCCACCTCTGACTGTCCTCCCTCTCTTCCTGCTGAGATGTTTGATGAGAGGGCTGGGTCCTGGGGATATCAGTTCTTGTCCCATGCAGGGGTTGCTCGTCTCAGGTAGGAGACTCTCAGGCTGTGGCTGGTACACCGGGTTAGAGGTTAGGGAGGGGAGGAGAGGGCAGTGGTGCCCGAAGCCCTAGACAGTGACGCGAACTCCCCAACAACAGCTCTTCATGCCTGCTCCTCCTTGTGCCCCCAGAGCCCACCTGATCACTGTTACAGAATGGACTCTAGCCCGGCGGGGACCCCCAGTCCGCAGGTGAGTGGGTCTTGGTTCCCCCACCCACCACCAGGGGGCTCACTTCCTCCCACCGCTAAGGAAGGCTGTGGAAGCACTGGCCAGCTTGGTGGGCAGCCCAAGACCAGGACTGGGGGGCCAGCGGGGTCACTGTGAGCTCACAGAGGTGGGCCATTTTTAGGGTAAATAGAGAAGAGCCTTGGGCAAGGGCCTCAAGAAGTAAATGGGGTGGAAAAATCATGGGATTGGCTCTGAGAACCCCTGGATTCTAAAGCCAGTGGGGCTGCCTGTAGGTCCTTGGACAGCTCCTCTCTGGGCCTCGGTTTCCTCACCCTCACAATTGGCACAAGAGCCGGCTGCCTCCCAAGTCTATTGTGAGAGGCAGGTGAGATGGTGGATCGGTGGGTGGTTGGGTAGAGGGGTGGGAAGAAGGAAGGAAGGCAGGCAGGCAGGAAGATAGGCTAATAGAGATCTTGGAGAAGGGAGCAGGGCCTGGGACAGGAGAAAGGGAGGGGTCAAGGAGTAGGGACCTGATCTTAATCACTCTTTCTGTAAATGTCTTTAGCCCTCAAGGGCCAATGGGAACATCAACCTGGGGCCTTCAGCCAACCCAAAGTGAGTTCTTGTCTCTCAAGCAGCTTTCCTCCCCGGCTCCCTTCATACCTGGCTCCCCTCATACCTGGCTCCCCTTGCCTTGACAACAAAATCCAAGTTCTCTGGTCTAGCTTCAAGACCCTCTGCCATCTGGGCCCAGGACCATCCCTAAGCTTTATCGCCCACTAATTCTCCAGCCTTTTCCGGTGCTGAGCCCTGTGTTTGGAATGTCCCCAAAATCTGAGTTGTTAGCATCTCCCTGCACCCTTCAGGCCCATGTCAGGCATTGGGGTGAGATCCCTCTCCTTCTGTGAGTCATGACTGTTTTTCTCCCAAACTTGCCTGTTGTTTACTCAACCATGAGATCCCCAGGGGCGGGGGCTGGCCTTACAAGCGCCCTCTTGGCTGAGAGAACGTGGCATTCTTCAGCAGCCAGGTGGCGTGGCTCTTAGAGAACTCCTTGGAGCCCCCAGCTTCAAAGTTAAAAAGAAGCCTGGGCTTGAACTCAGGCACCAGGGTTCCCAGGCTCACAAATACTGACCCATGTTCTTCTCTCTTCCCCCAGTGCCCGGCCCACCGACTTCGACTTCCTCAAAGTCATTGGCAAAGGGAACTATGGGAAGGTGAGTGACATATGAGGGTGGGTGGTCTCCCCTTCTCCGGCCTCCTCCACCCCTTGTCTGTCACTTGCATGTTCAAGAGGGAGCTCACAACCTGCAGAGTCATGGACACAGGGCTGGGGCTGGGGGCTGTCGAGAAAGCCAAAGCCCCGAGGAGTCACCTGCAGGCCTTGCGTTTGTGCGTCTGCTCAGGTCCTCCTGGCCAAGCGCAAGTCTGATGGGACATTCTACGCAGTGAAGGTGCTGCAGAAAAAGTCCATCTTAAAGAAGAAAGAGGTACCAGAGCTTGGGCACAGGCATTTCCTCTCCTGCTTCTCGAGCCCCAGCCTAGGGTAGTTTCCCAAGATGGGTCCCGACTCTGAGGGGGCTGGGTGCAGAGGGGGTCACAACAGGCAGCCAGCCATGTGGTGCCCAGGATGCTGACCCTTCTCAAGGAAGGCAGGCCAACCGCCTCACCCACAGAGCCCTCGGGGGGACCCCGTCCCGGCCTTCTGCTTCCCCTGGGAAATTCAGGGCTCCGTAGTGGACAAGTCCTCTGCCCTGTCTAGGTGCCAGCCCCCCATCTGTGCAATATGGGGTCACACTGTACACTCTCCGAAGGCCCTTCGAGCCAGAGCCATCCTGGAGTTCTAGATGCTTCAGCTGACTTGAGTCTTTTTAACACCAGCCCCAAGAGGAGGGTAGAGCGGGCCCTGAGTGAGGGCGGAATCCCAAGCCAGAGGACTCAGATGAGGCGCTAACGTGAACAGGGACGTCGTGGGAGTGGGAAGGGGAGGTCTTTGCGAAGGAGGTAGCCTTGCAGCAGGCCTTGAAGGTGGGATTCCTTGGCCTGAAAGAGGGGTCGAGGCAGGGGAAGCGGCATGAAAAAGGCACGAATGTGGACAGTGCACAGCCTCTTTCCTCAGAGATTCTCCTTGATTCATTTATGCAGTGTTTGCATGCTTTGCTGTCACCTTGGAGCGGTGGTGGCAGGGATTTCTGATCCAGGGCTGGAGCTATACCCACATGGACTGGCCAGGGATGAGGCTAACCATGAAGAGCCCTGAATGCTAGGCAAGGAACCTGGGCCTGGCTTTGAGGGCAATAAGGAGCCATAGTGGGTGTTTGAGCAGGAGCGTGAGAAGGTCCTGGGCAGGGCAGCCCCCACCAGGGAGGCCATGTGGGCTGAGCCGGGGTAACGGGCTGCAGTGGGCTGTGACGTGGGCCGCGGTCTGTGACTCCGCAGCAGAGCCACATCATGGCAGAGCGCAGCGTGCTTCTGAAGAATGTGCGGCACCCTTTCCTCGTGGGCCTGCGCTACTCCTTCCAGACGCCTGAGAAGCTCTACTTTGTGCTGGACTATGTCAACGGGGGAGAGGTGAGTGGGCCAGCAGGGAGGCTCCCCATGGCCAACTCTTAGCTGGGAGCTACCCATCCCACATGCCCACTGTGCCCCAGGCTCTGGAATCATCCCACCACATCCTTACAACAGACCCATTTGTAGCTGAAGAAACCGAGGCTCAGGAGGTACTCACTGGCTCAAGGCCACCCAGCCTGGACTTGACAGAGCCAGGATTTGAACGCAGGTCTGACGCCTAGCCTTGATCGTTTCTTGACTTCCCCAGGCAAAGCTGCCCAGCCTCACTTCAGTGCACCTGGGAAAGGCTGATGTTACAGGAGCTCTGTGGTTGAGATTTCCAATGCCCCCCATTTCACACCATAGGCCGCTGGGTGGGGGTGACTGGTCACTGTGGTAAACCTGATGCCCACTGAGGCCACCTGATGCCCAAGAAGCACAGCTGGGATATGCTGGGCTCCCTCCTGGACTTTACTCTGTCTCTCTGGGCAAGATCGTAAATATTTGGTGGGCCCCCCTGCCCAGTGGACCCAGACTTAACCTGTGTGACCTCATGACTTTTGACCTGATGCCAAGAGAGGAGTTTTTGTCGTGTATCCCTAAGTCCCCTGGTAGAGGTAAAGGGCTTTCCATGCCAGAAAAATAGACCAAAGCAATTGGCCCATAGGCAGACCTAACCTGGGCTCAGTTTGACAGCCATAATGATCTTATTGCCCGAGTTGGAGAAAAAACACCTCTTTGAAACACCTAGGTTCAAACGGCAGCTCTGCCACTTCTGAGCTACGTGACTTTGGGCAGGTCACCTGACTGCTCTGACCCCTCCCAGCTTCCTCTTACGTGAAACTAGCTTCTATTTGATACCTTGAAGTTAGTCTTGAGGATGAAACAAGCTAAGAGAGGTGAAAGGGTCTGGCTTGGAGCCCAGAACTCAGTAGGTGCTCAGTCCATGCTAATTAGTCTCTCCCACGGACCCTTTGGACACTCACAACTGTTCTATGGGGTGGGGGCCAGTGTGACCTTTATTTTTTTCTTTGGGGAAGATTAACCCTGAGCTAACATCCACCGTCAATTCTCCTCTTCTTTTGCTGAGGAAGACTGGCCCTGAGCTAGCATCCGTGCCCATCTTCCTCTACTTTATATGTGGGATGCCTGCCACAGCATGGCTTGATGAGCGGTGCGTAGGTCCGCACCCGGGATCTGAACCAGTGAACTCCAGGCCACCAAAGCAGAGCATGAGAACTTAACCTCTGCGCCACCAGGCTGGCCCCAGTGTGACCTTTTTCATCTGAGTACATTGCAGCTCAGAGAGGGGGTGATTTGGCCAGCTGTCTCCCCACTCCCCCACCGCACTCTAGGAGCTGGAGTTCCCCGGGAAACCCTCTCACCCACCTCCTGCCCCTCCAGCTCTTCTTCCACCTGCAGCGGGAGCGCCGGTTCCTGGAGCCCCGGGCCCGGTTCTATGCTGCCGAGGTGGCCAGTGCCATCGGCTACCTGCACTCCCTCAACATCATTTACAGGTGAGGCCTGCCTGTGGCGCAGGGCTAGGCCTGGCCCTTCTGCCCCAACAGCCAGGCGTTGTGTGGACCCCTATATCTTAATGAAATCCTGGTGAACCGGGTCCTTTATCTGAGGCAGAGGGGCCCACAGGGTGGGTGGGATGGGAGCCTCTTCCTTTCTAGGATCAGGTGCCCATCCTCCTTGGGCTCTCCCTCTGCATCTCCATGAGCCTCTGTGAATAGTGGTCCTGCCAGGAGCCCGGGTCCCCAACTCTCCTCACTAAGTGGCTGAGACCCTAAGGAGTTCTTTTCTCTTGTTTTCTTCAGGGACCTGAAACCAGAGAACATCCTCTTGGACTGCCAGGTTAGGATGTGTGTGTTTGTGTGCGTGCATAGCTGCACATGTATGCTGTGTACTCACGTGTGTGTGTGCATCAACATGCATGGATTGTACATACATACATATGGGTAGTGATGCATTCAAATATGTGTGTGCATGTGTACCTATGCGTGTGTACAAGCGCGTATACATGCACCATGTATTCATGTATACATATGTGTGTGTGTGTGTGTGTGTGTGTGTATAGAAGGTCTGTGGGGGGTGGGGGTGGAGCCAGGTGGAGGCTCATGGGTTTTGTAGTCCCTCAGTCTTCGACCAGGTTCCCTGGAAACAGACACTGAGATGGAGCATTGGGTGCAGAAGGTTTATTGGGGAACACTTTCAAGAGATCCACCTTTAAGGGGATCAGGAGGCAGGACTGGGCAGAGGACAAAGATTGCCTGCATTGTGGTGACAAGTGAGGCCTTGGCTGGCCTCACATGGGTGGAGAGGGCCCGAGCTGGGATGGCTCTTTAGAACTGTTCCAAATTGAGGCAAGGAGGCTGGGTGCTTGTGCCCCTACATCAGCCAGTCATTAGATGGGGATTGCCCCTTGAGGGGGCATAACTGTGGGTGAGGGCAATGCCCCAGCATGGGGGGATGGGCATGACAGCCCCTAAAGAGGGGCTCTGAGCAGAGCCCAACAGTATCCACTCACTCTACGACCTTACCATTCACCCTCCTGCCCAGCTGCCACAAGGTATGGTTGCTTTCTGGGTCAAGGGGGCTGCTGCCACCAGGCCCCTCCAGCAAGGACATTCTGGAGCTGCCACTGATGTAGGGTGTGGCTCTGGGTCAGTGATGAGCCCCGAGCAGACAGTGGAATGCCATCCCCCACCTGGCCCCCTGTGCTGCTCCTGGCATTCAGTCTAGAAGCCCTGGGTCTCTGAGTGGGGCCTCTAACCTGTGCCAAGGGCATCAGACCCCACAGCCACTGCCCTGCAGTGTGGCCTCTGGGCTTTGGGGTTAAGCCTGGCAGTCCCTTTATCATAAACAACCCTCCTGCCCCGCCCCCTCCTCTTCAGGGACACGTGGTGCTGACGGATTTTGGCCTCTGCAAGGAGGGTGTAGAGCCCGAGGAGACCACGTCCACGTTCTGTGGCACCCCTGAGGTAAGGTCAGCCTCCTAGGAGAGGTCAAGCCATGCCTGGTTGATATACCACAGCTCCTCCTTAGAGCCAACAGGTTACCCGTGAGGGGGCTCACTCCTTCCACCTAGCACTTCCCCTGAGCTGGCTGTGCACTCAGCCTTGGTTTCCTCATCTGTGTAATGGGGCCACCAGCTCTAGGGGCTTCTGGGACCCGGCCAGCTGCTGGTGAAGCTCTGCGGCCGTGTTGTCCAATAGGTAGAGAAACAGAAATGCAAACCACACGTGCACTTTAAAATTTTCCAGCAGCCACGTTTTAAAAGTAAAAAGAAACAGGTGAAACTACCTTAATAATATATTTCATTGAAACAATATATACAAAATGTTATCATTTCAACACGAAATCATTATAAAATTGTTGAGATCGTTTATTCTTTTTTTCTAACTAAGTCTTTGAAATCCAGTGTATATTTTACACTTACAGTTCATCTCAGCTCAGTTCAGCCACAGTTCAAGTGTTCGGTGGCCACATGTGGCTAGTGGCTACAGCGCTGCCCCACAGGGTGAAGTCCATGTGCAACAGGAGGGCCTGGCCTGACAGTTACGATCAGGGCTTGCAAGTGGAAAACATTGCTCCACCGCCCTCTTCCAGCCACCAGGAGCCTGGAGGGTTAAAGTTTGTGAGTCTCAGCAGTAATTCACATGTCTGTCCCTCCTGCCAAGGCCTCCCAGTGTCCTTGGGGCTAAAACCTTTCCTCAGACTCCCACCAGTGTTGACCCTTGGACCTTGGACCCGAAGGGGTTTCCAGTGGCTTGGACAGATGTGCGGGTGGGGGCAGGGGGCTGAGGCTGAAGGACTGGGAAGCTCCTCCTGGCCTGGCATGGATCAGGACCTGAGCTGCTCTATGTTTCTCCATATGCCTGGAAATCTGGGTCTCAGATCTCAGCTGAGCCTCCTCAGTTTAGTTTCCGGGTAGCCGATGGGCAGATGACCTCTCAGAGCAGGAGCCATTGCCTGTGTTTGTGTACGGGAGGGTGTCCGCCGGACGGAGCTGGCCTCCCAAAGCCTGACAGCACAGCCATCCCTTCCTTGGACACTGCCAGGGGCGGGCAGCAGGGGATATGGCACCCTGGCTCCTGTGGGAGACGTGTGGCCCCAACACGTCATCTCTTCCATAACTCAGCCACTGCCAGGGTGCCAGGGAGCACAAATAAGAGTAAGCACATTTGCTCCCATTGTTTAAGGGCCTAGGCATATATGATATTCCACATATATTAGCACATATCCTTGAAACAGCCCCCGGGGAGGGATTCTGCGTCCCCATTTTGTGCATGAAGAAGCAGTGTTCTGGGAGGTTAAATGACCTGCCTGCGACCACACAGCAAGTAGGGCTCAGGTCTGTGTGACTCCCCGCCCTTCCCCAGACCCACACAATCTCTCAAAGTGGCTTTGTTTGTTGCTCAGACCCCTTTCCTCAGTGGCAGAGACACCAGGCTAAGAGGTCACCAAGCTCTTGGGTTTGGCAGAAGGCACAGCTCTGCCTCGGGTCCTCTCCTGTGCAAGGCACAGACACACGGCAGCATTCGTGTGTCAATAGGAACTCAAGTGTCGCCTCCTCTCTCCTGACTCCTCTCCATGCCTCCGTTACTAAGGTTTCCAGTACCAGTATGTGCCCCATTTCCTTACACTTTACCTGTTACCGTCTCCGCACTGCACTGGGAGGACTCCCAGGGCTTTCCTATGCCCGGGACACAGACTGGATGCTTTTGTGCAAATTAGAAAAAGGCACCCCCGCTGGGCAGGCTAATTAGAAAAAGTTATCCCTTTAAACACAAATAAAGTTGCCAGATATAGCCCTGTACTAGAGTAATGGCTTGGTGAGAGGATCACAGCCAGCACCCTTTACCCCTTTGGCTGGCCTTTTGTGTGGTGTACGATATATACAACCATACAGGGCCATCCTGCCTGATCTATGTCCCCCGCACATTGGCCAGGGGCCCTGGACAAAGCAGGCCTTTGGTGAATGGATGCTGAATGAACACATGCATAGCCAAGTGAATATCACAGCAGGATCAACCCCTGAGTATCTTTGCCTCCAAGTGCCTTGTCTACAAATAGGGAAACTGAGGCTGAGGGTCTTTCAGATAAGTGTGTTTCCCCTCAACAGTACTTGGCTCCAGAAGTGCTTCGTAAAGAGCCTTACGATCGGGCAGTGGACTGGTGGTGCTTGGGGGCAGTTCTCTACGAGATGCTGCATGGCCTGGTGAGTGGGGTAGCTGTCTGCAAGGGACACGTGCCTTTGGGGGGAGATGGGGGCTGATCTCTCCCTTGTGTGGTCTGCTCAGGCTCTGCTCAGGGAACTGAACAAGCCCTCTGTCCACTTGAAGCTAAAAGAGATGATGCCACAGTGAATACAAGGACTATGTATATTTTTTCAGTAATATTAGTCCAGCACTCTACTGTTTACAACACATGTTTTTGCCTTTGGTACCTCAAAACAGCCTTTGGAGGCCAGCACTACAGGAAAGGAAGTCGTTATTTTACTTAGAGGGAAACTGAGGCCCAGAAAGGTCACAGTGCTGGTAGGTTGCTGAACCAGCCCCCAGCCCAATCCCACACTTAGATGGAGGCAAGTGTGGACTCGCCACAGGCCAGGCTTTACTCCGGGGTGGCTTTGCCAACATCGCTTGGTGGATAGGAAGAAACAGGCTCTGTGGAGTCAGGAGAAGGAAGATCTGGCAGAGGACGCGGGAAGGGAGCATCAGGAGACAGAAGTGGACTCTGGATACGGTTTGGGGCCTGGCTCTCTTCCTAGCTATGTGGCTTAATCTCTCTGAGCCTTGTTTTCTCATTGAAAAATTACAACCTGTCTCAGAGGATGGTTGTGAGGCTGGGATGAAATGATGACGGGGAAAGTGTTAACTTTGGTGCACAAGCAGGATTAAGAGAGATGGGATTGGGGGTGCTCCTGGGAGGTCCGCACCCCTCACGCTGGTGGGGAGAGACTTCCAGCCTTCCCAGCAGCCCTCTCCGCTGTGCTGGAAGTCCGAGGTCTCTGTCTCACTCCAATCTGCCACGTGAGGCACTGCACGAGACGGGTCTGGCTGAATCTTTCCAGCACCCAGCTTTGCTCCAAGTCTCCCTGAGACCTGTGCCCACCATAGCATGAATGATCCCCTGGCTTCTCTCCCTCTCTCACCAGCCGCCCTTCTACAGCCGAGATGTGTCCCAGATGTATGAGAACATTCTGCACCAGCCGCTCCAGATCCCTGGGGGCCGGACGGTGGCCGCCTGCGACCTCCTGCAAGCTCTTCTCCACAAGGACCAGAGGCAGCGGCTGGGCTCCAAAGCAGACTTTGTAGGTGACCTGCTGGTGGAGCACTGGCCCCTCGTGGGGCCCTCAGCTTCCTGCAGAGGCAGCTCAGAAGCGCAGTGACACGCATCCAGCTTTCCTCTAAAACCAGGCACTGCTAATTCATTCATTTAGAAACTCACAGGTGCTGCTGCTGCTAGTTAACTTCCTTCTGTCTAGTTCTACTATTCAAGCAGTATTGACTGAGCACCTGCCGTGTGCCGGGCATTGAGATAGGAGCTAGGGAATCAATAGACTGGGTCTCTGACCTTATTAGGTTTATTGGGGGAAGGCGGACAACAAACAAATATATACAATTATTAGAGAGTGTGACAAGTGTCAGGAAAGAAATGAACAATGAGCTGAGATAGACAATAAGGGGAGGGGGTGAATTCACACTGGTCTGGTCAGGGAGATGCTCTCTGAGAAGGTGACAATTAAGCTGAGCCCTGAAGGATGAGAAAGAGCCACTGCAGCGAGCTGGCAGAGGCATACTGGATGCAGGGCACAGCAGGTGCAAAAGTCCTGGGGTGGGAACAAGAAGGAGAGTGGTATGCTTTAGGGTATTTTGAGCATGGAAGAAGCAAGACCCAATCTAAGTTTTAAGAAATTCTTCTGGCTTCTGTGCAGAGAGTGGACTGGGCTTGTTTTTCACAAATATCACAGATTTCACAAATATGAGCACTTCCTCCTTGCCAGTGTCCAGGCTGGGCAGGCAGGATATAAAGATAAATAATTCACAGTCCATTCCCTTAACAAATTCCTGGTATGTTTTTTATTAAAGTAGCTTTAAAAATAATCTTACATTATCTACTCAACAGAAGATAATTTGGATTTATAAAAAGAAGAACACAGTACATTTTTTCCTGGAAGTTTGTTTTCTCTTCCAGCATAGTGGTTGAGATGCATGGATGATAGAGATGGTAGAGACAGATTACCTTGGTTCAGGATCCCTTCTCCTCCACTTCCTAGTCCCAGGACCTTGGGCAAATTGCTTAACCTCTCAGTTTCCTCACCTGTAATAATAGCATCTAGCTCATAGCTTATGAAGATCGAATGAATTAACATATGCAAAGCACTTAGGCCAGTGCCTGGCACATAGTGAGTGCCTTTTAAATGCTGGTGCCACTTGCAGATCTTGTGAAGTGTAATAACATTAGGGCATTTGCCTACCCATGCCTGGCCTGCTGACAGAACAGGGCTTTCATGAAGACTGGTCCCCTTCTTCCCAGGGGAAATTTGCAACTTAAAAAACATGGATGATTTTTTAAATAAGGTATACATACGCACAGATCAAAATTCAAAGGATATTCAGAACAAGTCCCACGAGTCACCCAGTTCCTTAGTTTAGAGGCAACCAGTCTTAACAGTTTCTTGGGTATTCTTCTGAAGACATTTTGGATCTTGCTTTTTAACAAGATCTGATAGGGGGTTTCTGAGAGAGGGAGCCAGAGAATCATTCTTGGAGAAACACAGATAGAGGGAGCGTCCTGCTGGGACAGGAGGAAGTTGGTGCCAATATTGGTTTTGATTAGGAAAGAAGTGGTGACTCGTGCCCAGGGCTGAGTCCTAAATTCTGGGTCTCCGGGAAACTGCAGCTTTTCTTGGGGTATTATTTCTCAAACCTTCCTCAGTGAGTTGACTTGGTCTATTTCTCCGGTTTGCATTCTAGAAGAGTCAAGATGCACTGAGGCAGAATAGCGGGGAGAGGACCCCAAGATGCCCTGGGACCCCTGGGGGCAGGTTCACTGACATACCCCCAAAGCCAAACATGGTGCTGGCACAGAGCAGGTGCTCAGTAAATAGATGTAGAACAAATACATGCCATGGGGGAGAAGGGCTTGGGTGCTGGATGATGGCAAAAGGGAGACGCCTGGCTGCAGACGCCCCTTTGTCCAGGAAATCAGCTGAACTGCAAGTTGCTTTCCTAGTAAAGGTTTTAGGGCTTGCCAGCCAGTTCCCGGTAGACTCGGAGCGCCTGGCCTTGTGGGAGTGCCTGTGGGGAGGGCTACTTCTGATCAGTACCGTCTTCCTGCAGCTGGAGATAAAGACCCATGTTTTCTTCAGCCCCATAAACTGGGATGACTTGTACCACAAGAGGCTGACTCCACCCTTCAACCCAAATGTGGTAAGAGGTCACCAGATCCTAGATTCTGGATTCCCAGGGCTGGTGGGAGTTGGAGGGTCTCTGGACCAACTCTCTATCTACAGAAGGGGAAACCGAGGGTCCAAGAGGCTCAATGATTTGTCCAAGGCCACACAGTAAGTTAGAGGCAGAACTGGGTCTAGAACCCAGAAGTCCCGACTGCTCGTTCAGCGCTGCATGACGAACCCAGCTGCCACTCCTTAATTTTTAGCACCAACAACCCTCCTTGCAGAGCCCAATATAGTCTTTAAAGTGCTCTGTGTCATGTAGCACCCCCAGAGCCAAGCCTTGTAAAGATTATTTTTTTCTATGTTTAGCTTTTTTCCTGATAATAAAAATGACATGTATTCATTGCAGAAAGTGTGTAAAACAGAAGTTTAAAGCAGCAGGGAAAAAAAGCTTATTATCTCACTATCCAAGAGAGACCACCACTGGCATGTTTCCTTCCAGTCTTTTTTCTATGTGTTTTTTACACAGGTCATACTTTATATAGAGAGATATTGTCTCCTCCTGTTTTTTTTTTTTAGCTAAAAACCATGTTATTATTTCCCCAAGTCATATAAAACTTTATAAGTATCATTTTAAGTGGCCGGATAATATTTCAACCCTATGTTGGTAACATAATTTATTCGACCATGTTCCTAATGGTGAACTCTAGGTTATTATCAAGTTTCCTTTATCAGAACTGATGAACATCTTTAAGTGTGTATCTTTGCCCAGAGTTCTGATTATTTCCTTAAGATGGATTCCAGATGGGGAATTACCAGGTCAAACAACGTGAACGTTTTTAGGTTCTTGATTCAACTGCCTTCACTGTGTGTTAGGGAGCACAGACCACTTCCTGCCAGCAGCATCTGCTGGAGAATTCTCATCTTATTCTCTGCAGCATATGAGGTCGTTGCTGTTTTTTACTTTGCGAATTCATTAAGTAAAAAAATGGGGGGCCAGCCCCGTGGCCGAGTGGTTAAGTTTACACGCTCCGCTTTGGCAGCCCAGGTTTTCGCTGGTTTGGATCCTGGTCTTGGACATGGCACTGCTCACCAAGCCATGCTAAGGTGGCGTCCCACATAGCACAACCAGAAGGACCTACAACTAGAATATACAACTATGTACTAGGGGGCTTTGGGAGAAGAAGAAGGAAAAAAAAAAGATCGGCAACACATGTTAGCCCAAGTGTCAATCTTTTAAAAAAAATGGCCTCTTGTATTGTTTTAGTTTATATTTCTTAGATTTATGGTGAAGGAGGTTAGTTTGTTGGTGTTAATTAGCCGTGGTAGTATGAGTGAAAGGAGCCCCATCTGAGGTGGGCGTGGGACATTCTCTCGGTCACCTGTGAAGTGTCAAACCCCCTCCATCCAAGTAGTCTGCACACATCCCTAAACACGGCCAATGTTAACTCACTGTTTACATTTTTCCTCTGGTGAATTACCTGTTCATGAACGTGTCTTTGAGCACCAGATTCTTGACAACATTTGTCAGATAGGATACACTCAGTCTGGGCACCTGAAAAGTTTCTTCATCTGGGGATTTAAAAAAGACCCTGAGGATAATATTGAACATACACCCTGGAGATGGATTGATATAAAAAATATTAGCCAGGGAGGTAATAGAATGCAATGCTGGGCCTTTGGAGTGAGACCTACTGGGGGTGCATTCCTGGGTCTGTTGCCTACAACTTGGGAGGCCTTGAATAAATTTCTGTGGCATCAATGTCTTCATTTATTTTAAAAAAACAACCCACAGACAACACCTGCCTAGTCTAACAAACATAGCTAATGAGGGCCAGCACCGGGAGTCACATTCTGGTCTCGGAACTCTGAGCCCTGGGCTGGGACCACTGTGCCCTGTAACCTTTTTGAGAAGCTGGAAACCATGGTCTGGTGCCACAGCCTAAGGCTTGCCTATCAGAACAGATCTTCAGACCCTTCCACTTGCTCATCTTCAGAAAACCCATGTGGCCCAGCCTTCTCCACAGACTGTGCCGCTTCCGCGAGAGGCGTATCAGTTAGCTCTTGTTGCATAACAAGCCACCCCCAAACTAGGTGGCTTAAAACACTATTTTTCATTCCAATTCTATGGGCTGGCTGGGTGGTTTTTTTGGGTGAGGCCAGCGGGTCTCTGCTGGGCTCTCTGATGTCAGTGGTCAGCTAGCAGGTCAGCTGGCAGTGGATGACCTAGAATTGCCTCACTCACAGACTGGCAGGTGGCCAGCCGCTGGGGCAACTGGAGTTTCCTTCACGAGGCCTCTCATACTCCAGCAGGCTAGCCTGGGCTTGTTCACGCGGTGGCCTGAGGGTTCCGAGTGCAGCAGGAGAGAACACCCCCCACTGTGTGGTTTTCAAGCCTCTGCTTGCATCACATTTGGTAACGTCCCGTTGGCCCATGGAAGTCCCATGGTTAATCCATATTAAACGGATGGCGAAATAGACTCCACCTCTGGATGGGAAATGGAGAATTTGTCACCATTTTTGTAGTCTCCCACACAGGCCTTCCCCCAAGCCTGGTCACTCTGTACCATATTACCCCATTTTACCTTCCTCATAAGACTTATCAACACTCAAAATTGTCTATTTGTGTATACATTTATTATCCATTCTCCTATCCCCTGCATAGTATAAGCTCCATGAAAGCAGAGGCCCACTCTAGTTTCTTCTCCTATATTCCTAGTGCCATGAACTGTGCCTGGTAGGCAGTTAGTCAGTGTATGTTGTCTAGACTTGTCTGAGGGTTGATAGCAGACAGGCAGGGTATGAGGGGGTTAGAGGAATTGGGATGTGGTTAGTGGATCTCATAGAATAAAATGAGTAATGTGAATGCATGGGTGAGTGACAGTTAAGTAAAGGTGTCCATGAGGCACTCAGAGCGAAGGCCTAAAATCCCTCTTAGGGCTTGTGGGTTCCTTCGGCAGCTCGGACCGCAGTGTTCCCTTCTCATGGATGGCTTATATTCACAGGCAGGACCTGCTGACTTGAAACACTTTGACCCAGAGTTCACCCAGGAAGCTGTGTCAACGTCCATCGGCTGCACTCCCGATACGATGGCCAGTAGCTCTGGGGCCTCAAGCGCATTCCTGGGATTTTCCTATGCACCAGAGGATGATGCCATCTTGGATTGCTAGAAGAGAAGCACCTGTGAAACCAGTGAAGACAGCTGGTATCCATAAGGAATTACCTTCAGCCGCTAGTAACAGAGACTCAAAGTAACAATGGCTTACATAAGTTTATTTTTTACCAGCACATAAAAGAAGACTGTGTTAGTGGTCCATGGCTGGTACAACAGGTTATCAGATACTCAGAGGCTTTGTGTATTTCTACTCTGCCATCCTTGGCAAATGGCTTTCAATAGTAGGATTGCTACATTATCTCAAGTTGGTTACTAGAGCTCTAGCCATTGCTTCTGTGTACTGGGCAAGGAAAAGTGAGGAAAGGAGGAAAAGCAAAAGGGCACCTTTACAGAGCTCCCCCAGAAGCCCCACCTTTGTGGGGGCTTGACTTCTCCTTCCATCTCACTAGCCACCCATCCTACTGTATGGAGGCTGGGATGTGTCGTATTAGCTGGGCACATTACTACCCCTGATAACACAGGGATTCCAACACTAAGGGAGAAAGGGAAAACATGGGGTAGACAACCAGCACCTCTTTCCCAGAGGGCCTCTTGGTGTTTGGATTTTGATCCCCATGTGTAAAGTGACAGAGATGTGACAAGCCTATAGGGTATCCCCAACATCCTCACTTTTCTGTCGATGGTTTCTATGTTCTTTGTTGTGGGTGGTACTGGACTTTTGTTATTAGGTTTGTCTGCCTGGCATCTGAACCCCATCCTATATGCAGGGACTCTCCTACTTTATGAGCCTTGATGAGGGGCAATAACTATCTCCCCTTAGAGTGGAGCTGAAAATGCTAGATACTGCTTTCCCAGCCTCCCCTGCAGCTAGGGCCAGGCATATGGCCTAGGGATACACCTGCACCAGATGTTGACTCAACGGAGGGACTGGAAGCTCTCTTTCATGTTGTAGCTGTGGTAACAATACCCACAAAACCGAGCTCCTGGTATAGAAGTGTTGACTATGCAAATTGCAGCAATTGGTATTCAGTGGCGGCAGCAGTAGCTTCCTCATCAGATCTGTGCCGTGTGTCATTCCTGTCATCCCTGGGAAGCCTTGAACCTCACTCTCTAGCTTTCCTCATGATTTTGAGAGTTTCTGATCCTTTTCACATACTCCTTTTTTGCTGAAGTGGCCAAAGCCAGCTTCAGAAACCTGCCTATGCTGATCCAGTTTCTGTGCCAGACTCTTTCAAGTCTATTATCAATTTTCAGCCAAACAACCCCAAGGGAACTATTACATCCCCTTTTCACAGGGTCAGAGAAGTTGTTCCTTGCTTGAAGGTAGATCCTGACTCTCCCAGCCTCCCCTGCAGCTAGGGCCAGGGATGCAGCTTTGCCAGATGTTGAGTCAAGAGAGGAACTGGGAGTGCTGTCTCATGTGGCAGCTGTGAAACTATTACTGTCCACTTTTTACAGGGTCAGAGAAGTTGCTTCTTGCCTGAAGGTCACATAGCTAATAAAGGCCAGAGCTGGGAACTGGAGCCACAGAAGCTCTCACGTGTAACCTTTGTGGTCTGCCCCTCACTCTGGCCATTAGGTCCAAGCAGAATGACTGTCAAAATCTCTAATGAGAGCCAAGTCAGGAATTGGTTGGAACAAGCTAGGTGGTGGGAAATGGGGTCTTCCAGAGGAGACATTCAACTGGACGCTCATGGTCTGAGCCTGGCTGCTATGTTCGTGCTGTCCTCCACCTCACATGCACCTGTGTGATTGGCAGCTCTGAGGCCATGGGGAGCCCAGGCCTTGGACAGGGCTGGAGGCTGGTGCAGGCTTGGTGACCAGAGCCCTCGGGCCACCTATGGAGCTCCATGTGTTCAAAATTAGTCATTTCTAAAAGTGATTCCGACTGGACAGAATATGAGCACGTAACATCCCACGAATTCAGGACACCCTACACTTGTAGGATGGATCATGCTGCCTTATGTCAGGGAAAAGTGGCTTCTTTTTCACAAACCTGTGGTTCATCACCTACTTCAAGGTGGTCTTATTAGCTTTTTGGTTAGTGGACAAGAGGGGATGTTTCTTAACATCACTATGTGCTGGTGATTTTAATGCCTTTTCCTCTTAACTCAGCCCCACTCTTTCCTTCCATCTTTGTTCACCCAGCCCCTGCCCCAGGAATTATAGGGGCTGAAGCTGGAAGACCATGGAAAACACACCAATGGCAGACACTGACCTACTAGAGATCGAAGCTGGGTCAGGAAGAGCTACTCTTACCCTTTGACATGTGCTGGGAACTGTGCAAGAAACACTCTGATTTGATTTCTATCTTAATAGTGTCTGTTAATTGACAAATGTGGAACATGATGAGGGAGAGGCAAAAATTCCCCCAACTTCCCAAAGCAAAAAGCAAGACAGTGTAATTGTCAGAAACATGATAGCATTGTCGAAAGCACACAATCTGCTACGGATCATGAAACACAAAGGGGTTCTATCTGTTCTAAAACTGTAAGACCACAAAACTTTTACCAGGATAGAAAATAAAAATGAAGAAAAATGATGCTATTGAATTGCTCACACTATGCCTCTATTTACTGAGCACGTTCTGAATTTTATATGCATTATCTACAATGCTCACAGTAAGCCAGCATTTGGAAATTATTAACCTCACTTTACAGATAAGTAACATTCCCTCAGAGGTATTAAGCAACTTGCCCAAGGTCACCCAGCTGGTACAACGCACAGCCAGGAACTGAACTTGGTGGCAGCTGATTCGAGAACGCTTGCCCTTTCTACAACCTCCAACAGTGGGAGAAGTGCTCTGGGCAGGTACTCGTGGTCTTCTAGCAAACACTGACTGCACATCAGGCAGAAGGATCCCAAGACCGGTCCCAACCCTCAGGTGGCACGGCCTACTCTCTCTCCAGTGGGACTGCATCACTGCCATTGTTATCCCTAACTGCAGACTGTACTCATCCAGCTTTGCTCCCAAATACAGCCTCCCCACAATTATCCTCTTCCCCACTTTTTAACTTTGCAGTGACAGTAGTTGTGATAAAGCAACAAGAGTTGTGTGTGTGTTTTGAGATCCTAAAACCCCCACTACTATACATGTTGAAGATCCTAACAAACATAAACGTAAGCCAAGACTGTCAGAAGTCTCTGCTCTCCCGGGTTTGAGCCAGCGAGGCGGCAGCATTGCACACAAGTCCGCACTCTCTCAGGGCAGGCACGGAGCGCTCCCCTGGGAGACGGGTAGCCTGTTTGCAGTTACCGAAGCCTCGTTTCCCATTTTCATGGCGATGGCAGGGCAACCTGTACGTGTCGATGGCTATTTCGCATAAGCAGTTCCTTCTGCCAGGAACGCCCTTTCCCAGCCTTTGCCTTAGTGAAATACCACTCCTTTCACATCTCTGCTCCTTGGGGCGCCTTTCTGTCCAGCTCCTGCCCCTCACAGCTCTCTTCACAAAGTTTATATTTTTACCTTTTTTGTAGGATGTGGCCAGGTACTGACTGCCTGCCTAGGGACGCCTAAAGGGCGGGTTCAGCGGCATCTCCTGGGCCTGGCGCTGTGGCTCTCAGAGATGCGGGGCTAATCAAAGAGAACTCTTATTGCCATCCTCACCACTAACCCTGCCACCCTCCGGGGAAGTCTTCTCGGCCTCCCAAGGAGGCGAAACGCTCCTACATCACACATCAAGCCGCAACTCCCCAAGCCTGATGGTCTGATCCCGGGCCTGGGTCACAGCGGCGAAGCCCCGCCCTGCCCCGTCCCGGCCCTGGCGCTCTGCGCCTGCGCTCACGGGATCGAGGCTGGGACGTCCCCCCACCCCGCCGGAAGCCCTCACTATTCTCCTCACTCGGGGTGGAGCCAAGTTTGGACCTTTGGGACCTACCATTTTTATCTATCTATAATAATACCTAAAATTAAAGGAGAAAGTGAAATGGGTTTATGTTTGGCCTAAGGTAACCCACGTTCTGTTTGGATCTACCCCCAGCCAATCTAATGGTACTGTCCTGCATTGGCCCCGCCCACCACACCTGTCGCTCTAGGCGCAATGGCGACTTCCCGTTCTGTCGTCATCACGTCGGCTAGATCCCCGCCCTGATCCCCGCCTTCCTAGCGCGCCGCTTCGTCTCCACCGTTGCTAAGCGGCCTTGGATACCTGGCAGGGATGCTGGGAGGTGTCAGGTGAAGATGGTGGTCGCTGGGCTTCAGGTAAGAAGGGCTCCGACGCTGAAGGGCCAGCCGGGGCGTTGAGGCATCCAGGAAGCTGGCAAGGGCCTCGCCGGACTGTCCTCGGGGCCTCGGGGCCAGTCTTAGGGGAAAATCGAGGTCCGCTGGGGTAAAGTAAGCCGGCGGCGCAGATGCAGGCCCGGATCCTCGACCTCGGACGCGGCTCGAATCTCCGTCGCCTCCGGCTGGGAGATTTTTGGTCGTCCTGCTAAGTATGAAAGAGTCCTGGACGAGGAATCATAACATCTTACTTTCATCCCCTTTTGCTAGGTATCTTGCTGTTAGGAATCTGCCTTATGGCAAAAATAATTAATAGCAAAAGCAGAAATGTGTAAATTTCAGTAGTATCTATGTTGGCAAAAAATTGAAATGATGCCCATGAAGGCATTGGTCGAGTTCATTATGGTATAACCATGCGATAGATCATGTAACCACTAACCTAATCAAGAAGACATTTCTCTCAGAAAACTGGAGAAAGCAGAATATGATATTGCATGTACACATTGTGAAAACAAGCATGCACGTGGATGGAATTGAGCGTGAAAAGATAGCTGTGGTGGGATCATGGGTGATTTTTTAACATGACACAATGATTTTAAAGTTCAACTGGTGGAATAAATATATGAGACTAGCCAGGAAAATTCTAAAAATTAATGATAATAAGGGGGATTAGCTCTTCAACACCACCAGATACTGTAACATATTATAAAGCTATAGTAATTAAAATAGTATGGAACTGAACAGAAACCTATAGGCAGATAGAATATAAGAGAATTCAGAGTAAGATCCAATTTGTAGGGATTTTTTATGTAGTCAAGGTGGTATTTCCAGTTAGCATTGAAAAGATGTATTGGTGTCACGCGACTTTCTAGTAATTTAAAAAGAACAATAACAAAGTTCATTTTGAGCACCAAAATAAATTCCAAATGGACCAAATTTTAAATGTTAAAAAAATAACATCACAAAAGTACTGGAAGAAAGCATTGCAGGATATGTTTATAATCTTGGCATGGCAAAAACTCTTCTAAATATGTTATGCCATCCAGAAGCCAGAAAGCAAAAGATTAATGCTTTTAACTCTATAATTTAAAAATTTTTGTATGGTCTGCAGAATTCACTCAAACCAAACAAGCCACCAGAAGTTAAATCTAAAGACAAACAAACTTATGGAAGTATTTGTTTAATGATCAATTAGAAAAATTATAAACCCAGTAAAAAAATTATTAGAGCATATGAACAAGAAAATCAGAAGAAATATAAATGGCCAATGTACACAGTGAAATGTGGCCATCCCACTAATTTCAAAGTGCAAATTAAAACAATAATGAGAGGGGTTTTTATCCTATCTTATTAGCAAAGATGAAAATGATCGGAAATAGATAGGATTTTGTAGAAACAGAAATGTATTAGTGTTAGTGGAAGTAACAATTTTTGGGAGGGCAATTTGGAAGTAATTTACTTCGTTATTTAACAGGTAGGAATTTATTTTACACATATGCCAGGTGCACAAAAACATGTTCAAGGGTGGTGTTTGTAGCACTGTTTTCCTAGCAAAAATTTGGGGGAAAACACAGGTGTCAATCAGTATATGCCTAGTTAAATAAATTATGGTACATCCGTTAAATGGAATATTGAGCAGGAGTTTAAAAAAAATCTGGTAGATCCAAATGTACTGACATGGAAAGATGTGAAAGATACAAGGTTAAGTGAAAATAGTGTGTTGTAGAATAGTGCATGTGGTAAGATCCTATTTCCTAAATAAAACTATAAGTTAACGTATGTATAGAAAGAATCTAGAAGACTATATCCTACGCTTAATAGTAGTTAGCAGTAAGGAATCAGGTTGGAAACATGGTCTCCCACAAGGGTAGGTGATGGCCAGAGCAAGAGACAAGGCCAGAGCCGGGGTTACCGGCTTTAGGTTTCTGCATCTGTGATCATTCATTTCACTCTCAACCTTTGAGAATTATAGGGATTTCATAGCTAGATTGCAGCTGTATACCCTTTCTTGATAAATTAGAAGAAGTAGACTATTTATTCCTTTTGGGGTCTCTCTTTGGGAGTATTGTTTATTGTTTCCCTTTTTCTGATCCCTTCTTCTTTCCGTAAGGTAACCATGGAGAAAGAGCCTCGGAGCACCATTCTTTTCAATGCATACAAAAAGGAAGTGTTTACCACCAACAATGGCTATAAATCCATGCAGAAAAGACTTCGGAGTAATTGGAAGATTCAGAGGTGACCGTCTATGGTTTTCCCTTCTAAGTGATAATAATAACCTACTGGTAACACTGAAAAGTCTTTGTTTTCTTATGTGAGATAGATTGTTTAGGTGGGAGGAGCTCAATTTAAGATCGTTCAGAAGTAAATTATTAAAACATCTCTTTTGAAAAGTGGCAGTTGGCATATTATTAAGTTGTCCCCCAAATCACAAATCAAAAGTTGTTCTAATTATACACACACAACTTTTTAAGAGATTAGAGGCTTTCTCCATATTTTAACTTGGGTTAATGCTTCAGTTTAGGGAAAGGAAAAATGAGAATATCTCTCTGTCTTTGTGGGTGTGTGTGGTTTTTCTTAAGGGGTAAAGATGGGTAACCATACCAGCTAATGGCAGAGCTGACTGAATTAGTGGTTGGAGGCCTCTGTGCTCCAGCATGGTTTACCTTGTACAGCCTGGCTTGTAAGGAGCTCTTGAGCAGAGGCCGATGATTCTGGGGCAGGCCTGTAGAAGGGATGCTCAGTTTGGGAGAAAGGCTGGACCAGGACGTCTAAATCCCTTCATTGCTGGGCCTGTGCAGCTTCTGCTTCCATACAGTCTGGCGGCTAAAGTAATTCACAAATTGGTTTCAATTATGGATCTGACACTTGTTTTTAAAATCATATTTCTAGCTTAAAAGATGAAATCACCTCTGAGAAGCTAATTGGGGTGAAACTGTGGATTACAGCCGGGCCAAGGGAAAAGTTTACTGCAGCTGAGGTAAGAAATATCCCTAAAGAAGAAATGTCTTGAGATAGTTAGGAGCATGGACTCTGAAATGCTGGGTTTAAATTCGTCTTCACCACTTACTGTGTGGCCTTAAGGTAACCGCTCCGCCTCTCTCTTCATTATGGAGTAGTTGTGATGATTCACTGAGATACTGTGTGTCAAGTGCCAGACACAGTGCAGGCTATTTAAATATGAGCCATACTTCTTCGCCATATTTTTGCTTTGAAAATAGCAAAATGCCACTTAAAATTAAGCTCATTTTTATTTTATTTCATGAAATAGACAAAGAGTGATAAATGTAAAACCCAGAACATAAATAGCAAGCGTTGGCAAAGAT